CACTGCTGGCGGGAACGCTTCTCCTCGCTCCTCTGATGGGGGGCTGACGAAGTACCGGCGGCTTGCTTAGACGGCCCCCCAGGGCTGCTCCCGACCGTCGTGTGACCCTCCCTCCGACCTCCTCCGCTCCTCCGTTCCTTCCTTCCTTCCCTCAATCCTTCGCCTCCCCGTTCTCTTCCACTCGTCGTCCTCCCTCCTTCCTTCCCTCCCTCCCTCCCTCCCTCCTTCCTTCCTTCCTTCCTTCCTTCCTTCCTGCCTTCTGCCCCTTCCACTTCCACTCTTCGTCCTCCTCGTACTCATCCACTCCTTCCTCACCCTCCTCCTTTTCGGCACCTGTACCACTGGGTCCCCTTCCCAGGATGACAAGCGGGTAGCCTCCCGTTCGTCACCCCGAGTCTGTCCCTGGGGGAAAGAAAAAAGGTAGTCTTAGGTCGGGCATGTCCCCCTGCAGGCGGATTTTGGACAACAATAAATGCTCAGGAAATGCTCCCCAAATAATCAACACATGCCAAAAACATCGTCCCCAGACCATTTGTTGGACTATGTCTGAATATTCATCCCGTCGAGGGACAGCCCCGACTTACAGGTACTCCGAATTTCGTATTCATCAGCCAGGGGGGGACAAACGCGAAAACGCGGCGCGGCCAACCCCCCCCTGGCACCACCCCTGCGCCCCAGCGGAGAAGGAGGGAACGAACCCCAGACCCCCCTCGGCACCTCCGCGGACGCGCCGCGGCCAACCCCCCAGGGCACTCCACGGGGGGGCGATTCTTAAGCGATCCAGAGTACACTCGACCAGGATAGTAAGGATGCACGCCAAGGATGCAAGGGCCTCGGAACGCCATGTTGACGTTTTCCGTGCGAAGCGCAGCAGAACGCCGAAGGATGCCGAATACCGAAGGGGCAAGGATGCAAGGGCAGCCTTGGAAAGTTGCCCCATCCTTACTATCATGGTTGACTGTACACGTCGTTCACATCTAATCGTGCTTGTTTCTGATAGTGCTCGCTTCTACTTGTGCCTGGCCCCCTGGTGGCCAGGAAGAGGCCCAGGATAGAAGAGTTCGACATGAAAGGATCTCGGCCCCCCGATCAAAGAACGCTCGAATAATTTGACATGAACCATGAACCATGGGTGGCCTTGGAAAGTTGCCCCATCCTTCCTGCCATGCCCAGAGATCCGACGTCGTGATTTTTCCATACGGCGTGCCCAGCAACACTCGACCCATTCCCCGGGGCCCTGTTTCTCACCCCGAGCTCGTCGTTGTTTGACGGTCCCGGGGCCCGGCGAGGGCCCCTCGGGGCCGAAAAGTAGGAAAAACCTATGTCTTGATTTGTTCAACACGTTGGATCTCTGGGGTAACGGCACCTCCCCAAAGGTGCCGACCCCCCTCCTCGTCCTCCTCCTCGTAGTCCTCCTCCTCCTCCTCCTCCTCCTCCTCCTCCTCCTCCTCCTCCTCCTCCTCCTCTCCTCCTCCTCCTCCTCCTCCTCCTCCTCCTCCTCCCTCCTCCTCCTCCCCTCCTCCCCTCTCCTCCTCCTCCTCCTCCTCCTCCTCCTCCTCCTCCTCCTCCTCCTCCTCACTCTGGGTGGCTGACTGAAGTCGGAGGCCTCCGGGCCGGCGCGAAGCGGCGGGACGCACGGGGGCCCTGGGCTCGCGGGGCTGCCGCCGCTCGGCCGTGCACGGCGGGCGGAGGCGGCCTGGGATCAGGTCGGGCCCGGCCCCCCCCCCCCCCCTTCCCCTTCACCTCCTCTCCTCCTCCTCCTCCTCCTCCTCCTCCTCCTCCTCCTCCTCTCCTCCTCCTCCTCCTCCTCCTCCTCCTCCTCCTCCTCCTCCTCCTCCTCCTCCTCCTCCCTCCTCCTCCCTCCTCCTCCTTCCTCCTCCTCTCCTCCTCCTCATCCTCCTCCCTTCTCCTCCCTCCTCCTCCTCCTCCTCCTCCTCCTCCTCCCTTCTCCTCCCTTCTCCTCCTCCTCCTCCTCCTCCTCCTCCTTTCTGCAGCGTACCGCTGGGGCAGAGAGTTCCAGCGTACGCTTCCGAGGCACCGCGGGGGCGCGTCTGCACGAGTCCAGTTCTAGTGCACATGTGTTTCACGCTGCCAGACTTCCTGCCGATGTGCCGTCCAGGCGCGGCTCTGTGGGCCCGTCCCTCTACAGGCAGATTTTCGACGAAGAATAACAACACATACCCAGAACATATCCGAGAATGGCCAAACAATGCTCAACAAAAACGTCCCCGGAATATTTGTTCGACTATGTTTGGAGATTCTCCCATGTAGAGGGACAGGCCCGACTTCAGTCTAGGATCCCAAGGCCTCGTCACTCTTGCCGTGACGGAGGAAAAACACCCTACAGTGTGGGCTCAACCACAGGAAACCTTCCACAAGAAACCCAACCCTGAGAGCCCAGGACGTCCATCGATCTTTGGTGTGGGAGCGTCACGCTTTCCATAGCAGAACCCTCGAAACCCAAGAAACCCGGGGCACCCTGGAGACACGCAGGGTGCTT